AATTAACTTGGCACCATTCTGATCTTACACGAAACTTTGAAATTGGATATATAGTTAAACTATTAACGCAACGATTGTTCTCATCATCATTGTCGGTATGCTATAACCCATAACTCGACTCTCAAACCAATTTCGAGACAATGCAAAATTAATCAATGTACGAATATAATCTAGGAACGTCTGATACGAACTGATCTTATAGTCAAATGCAGATCTGTATCAACATGAAATCAAGTGTATTCAGCTTATTACAACTTGTAATATTATAAAAGGGTTGGAATTCTATGTCGTCGAAAATTATGAAAAAAATATTTTTATTGCAAATATTCTCATCATCAGTTGAGTTCTTCAATAATAATAATAGCATAGTCTACTCGAATTTGTCTTTTCAATATTTGATCATTTATATGTATTGCTTAATCAGCATATATAAATATATATATATATATATATATATATATATATATATATTTACATACAAATACTCATATACATACATTGTTCGTTTTATTATATTGGCCATGAAGATGACAAACTTCAGGGCATTAAGCTTTACACGGAATAGTTGCTACCCCTGGTAGAGGGGGTAGCGGAGTGTTTTAATTGAACTAGTTGTTCATTTCAAAAAGTAAAGTCCGCTTAACAACATGTAAATAACCAATAAAAATAAATATATCTTCGATTAATATATATTCTATTGATATATATTTGTGTGTGAGCCTAAGAATTTTTCTACAGATAGGTAATGTAAAGCATGTAATGCATTTGTATTCTGATCTATATTGCCATATAATTTAAAGCAAATATGCAACACGCGTTCTGCAGTAATTACATGACTCTATGAAGAGAACATCTCCAACTACAGTAGCAATAAACTTTCATTTCCACCACATAATTCAACTATATATTTACAAAAATCGGTGCGTAAATAATTATAATAGTAATACCTACTCTACTTTGAATTATTTTTATTTAAAAATTTCAATGACAATTTGTACATAAACGGATAAAGACAAAACATTTAAATAAATAAATAAAATGAGAATCATCTATTTGAGCATGACGAAGTTGCATATAAATATTTTTTAAATTGAAGCTTTAGAATTCAAAGAATTTTGAAATTTTTCATTGTTATGCATAGTATAAATGAATTTTGCATTTAAATAAAATAGTTGACATGAAAGTTTGCTTTTGAATATTTTTTAAACTGAAGCTTAAAAGTTCAAATGATTTTTCAACTTTTAATTATTATGCATAGTATTTTATGAAATAAATGTCGGCGTTAAAGTTTCACTAGATTTTCAAATAGGGGAGACTGGGCACGGTTGTGCAATTTTATCAAATTATTTTTAAACAGCAATAATTTTGACAATTTTTAGCAGTTAGCTTAGAGAAAAATAAATTAAATGGTAATTTGACATTTGTCAACGTGGTAATACTAAAATTTTTCTTAAAAAACGTCATAAAATCAAATCATATAAAAAAGGGCGAACGTCAAAACCGTCCACACCCGAGGGACGGTTGTGACAGGCATAAAATTAGATTAAAAATAGGTATAAACCTATTTTTAACCTAAAACACCAAAATAGTTTATAACGACTTTTATTATCGTTAATAACAATAATATGTAGCACAACACAACATAAACATTCAAATAAAGCTTATGAATAAAATATAACAATATATTACAAAACATATTTTTTTAAACAAAGTTAACAAGAATCCGTTGTGATTTTTTTTCTTGTAGTGAATTTTCCTTTTTCTTTCTCTTTTGTATTTTGTCTCACAATTTGTTTGTTTAATCTACACCCGAAAAGAACAAGAAATAGATGTCACAATCGTACCCACAAAATACTTTTATATCTGATTAATGTAGAATCCTTTTAAAAAAATAATTATCTAAATTGTGAAATACATGTCACTATCGTACCCACAAGATACTTTTATATCTGATTAATGTAGAATGTAATCCTCTTTAAAAATCAATTTTTCGTCCCAGTTGCATTTTTATGGTAAAGAGGTTACACATAACTTTTCAATTATTATATATTATACAAGCATAATTATTAAGAATGCTTTTTAATGAGCATGTTCAGATTGCACTGCTAAGAAATACATCGAGATAGGCAATCTACAAATAGGTTAAACACCCCTGGTACATTTGCATTGTCAGATGTAAAGTATCCGCAGGAAATGGCAAAATCTTCAATTAGAAATAAATAATCATCAGGTTGATTGATGCACGCAATACGTTCGGAAACGAGCATTAAAAAGGAATGAGAAAAGCGTGAAGCATGATATGAATAAAGTTGATACGAAAGGAAACTTGATTTTATTATATGCACTTTTTAGAGAAATAAGTTGTTATGCAAGAATCACTTCCTCCAACTTCCATTTCCTCTCCTGAATATTATATATTCCTAGGAAAAAATTCGTAAAATTGAATTGCGCGCCGAAAATCAACATAAAGCGGTAGACATAAAATGTATGTCATTTTTTCATAGAGGCAACCCATGTCCGGCAAGATAATTTCAATCTTTATTGAAAAATTTAACATACATTTATGACAACAAAGATTCATCAAAAAATATTACTACGCAAATATTGAAAGCATAATTATGAATATATTATAACAACATTTTTCATGAATTTAAAACAAAAGTCAATTAAATATTTTTCTAGGACCTTCCAGGTTTATAATGTCTCAAAATAATGCTATTTAGTATTCTATATTCTGTAGACGATAATGTTTGTCCGTAAATGAGTTCCTTCAATGATATACATCCAGCTAAAAAATATTTAGTATTATATTATAACTTTTACACTATTATGATTTTAAAATTGAGCAAAAATTTGTTCTTATTATATAAAGTTCACTGCATTATTTTCATATAAAAATTAACATATTCAAAGAATTCTATATTTTCTCTTTAAAAATAATTACAAAATTGATTTTGATTCCCAAGTTTTTTGTCAATTTGAGATTTGTATGCATATTGAAATGCATAAAATAGTAATTATTATAATAAAATAAACAAAAATGTTTGAACTATTTGTAAACTATTTCCAAAGTCTTAATAAATCCTTAGATATGTTAACAACACACCAGAGAACAAATTTATGTCAAGTTTTATATTTCAAAGTTGTCGGAGTTGTGGAGTTGTTTAAGTGGATATAACTCCTCTCTGAAGCGGAGTCAAATCCTAACCGATCCGGCTTCGGATATGATAAGCCCATCTCATATAACCATTTTTTTCTTAAATTCCACAATATTAGATTTAAAAAAAAAATCACCCACGTATTGAAGGAAATCGATAAATTACAATAACAACAAATTATAATAAAACTAGTGTACTACTATCATGACAGTGCAAAGTTTCTTACAACTATATTACAGAAACATAGTTGTCGTGAAATACATGACCGTGAAAATAAAAAGTGAATCTCATATATTTTGTACTTCAGTATGCATCTGGAAATGTTCATAAACCCGTTATGAGTAAAAGTACTTTAAATTCAGCCATGAAGGAGAGTTATTTTATGTTAGACAATTGCACTAAAAATATATCTATAAACAAAATAGAGTTTATTTTTTAATAATGTAGAATTATTTTTTAATAATATACAGCAAAAAATTTTAATATATATCTACTGCAATAAATGATTTCCGTTTGGACCGAGTTTAGATCTAGTTTAGAATTATAACAAAAATTATAAAATATATGATGAAGCGAAATTGGTATCTTACAGTTCTGCAATTTTAGAGATTGAATGTTATAGTTATTCTATAAATAAATGAAATAGTAATTTAAATTTAGTTAAATGCATTTGTTTTTTTTTGCGGTATTTAGTAAAAGTTTATATTTTCGTTTCATGTTAAATTTTCTTTTTAAACGTAGTATTTTTTTTTTGCAAATCTTTGATCTCTCTTCGATCTTGACATGGTTTTCTAAAAAATTTTGCATTGTTCCGATTTGCGCCGTGCATTTTTGGACGCAAAGTGGGGTATAAACTTTTATGAATAAGTGCATGAGCATGTTAAGTGACAATAGTCATCCACATATATAGTTAAGACAATAGTCATCCACAAATATAGTTTTGAAATAGTATAACCATATATGTTTGACTTATATTTATTTTCAAAAAGCTGTTTTTCGTAAAATGCTTAGTTATGTTAAAGTTATAGCAATGAAAAAAGCACTGAACGACAAATTGGAATTATCATTGAGCTATCGATGTGATCTTGTTCGATTTGTTCTAACTGGTGCCCATTTCGAATGCACTGAACAAACTTACAATGCAATTTATCAGCGTGAAATTTGTATACGAGCAAAACCCATTTATTTTTGACTATACACATTTTGTGTTTATTTTGCAGAAGCCATTCTGATTCCAGCTATACAACAAATTGTCGGCATTCCAATTAAACTGACTCAACCGCTGATATTTGATTAATGTCCGCTGTACTGTCAAAATTATTTTCCTCTTTTATATAGAGTTTTACAGAGCGCGGCAAGCAAAAAACTGTTTACACAAATATTGCTGTCTGTATATTTTTTCAAAGTAAACATAACAAGTGATATTAACAAACGTTTGCATAAGGCTCAACATAGTATACGCAAAATCATATAACGTGCAATGTACCCAGTTTCATTAAAATTATTGATTTACCGGCAATCATGTTAGTTTTCGTTTTTTACATAGCTGCACATGAAAATTTTATGATTAATTATAAAAATTTCAAAACTTGTTTTTAGACTCGCTTAAAACGAATTATTAATAATTTTAGAATGTGAAGCATACATAATAAAAATATGGTTCCAAATCGGATACTTTATACTACTTTCGTGTTCACGCAATTTCAAACTATTAACAAATTTTTGAGAGAGTATATACAAATTTCCACTACATTAAGCTCACAAGTTAATGAATATAATATATTTTTGTTTGTTGAATAATTCTTTTATAGGAATAAAAATTGATAGTAAATAATGGCTCACCTGTAATTCATGGTAGAAATCAGTCTCATCCAGAAGCACGACACGGCATTGCACCTGGCGTGGCGCTCTGCACAGGCAATCCATCATTTTCACAGGCAAAATTTGAAAACTGCTGAATTTAAAACCACATTTAATTTCAGAAATAAACCGACACTATACACACTCTGCGACACTATGAAACTTGGCGAAAGGTCGCTTGCATCGTTTGGCTCACTTCGTTGAAATTAACTTTACATTACACATTGTACAACTTGCTAAATAAGTTGTCATTTTTTTCTTTTTTATGTCTACGCATAGGTTTGCGACAGGGAGTGATATCGTGAAGGCTAACTACAAATAGCCTTTGACGTCTGCGCAAAAGTGCGCCTGGCTTGAAAAATCTGCAACAAAAAATTAAATTATTTGTAATTATTATTATGGAAAAAATATTAGACTAATTCTGATTTATATAAATTAATATGTTCTGATGTTGTTATTCTGATCAACTGATTATATTCATGCTCGAGCAATCTACTTTAACAATTATCAAGCCAAATAAAAATATTATATAAATTTCTTTCCAAATGCAAATAATATAGAATTTTGTAGTTTTATCCAGTATCGTGCCTATTTTTAAAAACAATATTCAATAATATACAAACAGCTTAATTTGTATGAGGCAATAATGTAATGTAAAAATACTTATTCTAATAATGAATACAATTAAAAACGCTCTAACGTTTTTCTTACATTTATGTCTGAAAGTAGATAATATTCTTAGTTGGTACAAAAATAAAATCTATGAAAAAAACAAACGTAATATTGAAAATTAATAAAGGTTTATGTGCGAATGTCTTTCGTCTGGCTACTAAATAGCCATTTTATAAATAATTTTCTCGTTACTATGTGAAGGATAAACTTGCTATTACTAAAACCAAATTGGTTGAGAATATATATAGATGCATATATGCAAACATATCTACAACCTCCAAACAACGTATAAACATATTTTTTTCTAATTTCCAAAATGATCTTGCCTTGTATAATAAAAAAATACAAAAAATAGTGATTTTTATTATTCATACTTCCTAGAAAACTCACACTCCTTATAAAATTTGAAAAAAGTGAGATTTATTAAAAATTAACAAAAATCAAAAACACCTGATTTATAAAAATTAAAAGCGCCCAAAAAAGTGTTAATTGCAATAAAAAATATTTTAATCCGTTAATAATCGTTTATTTAGTACCAGTTTTATTCTTACATGCCGGTACAGAAACCTTAATTATGTTAATTAAATCGTAAATTTCTGAAAATATAAAAGCTACACAAAAACAAGTAAAATTTAGAGTACAAATTTTCTCTCTAAATTTTAACAACTTGAATAAATTATTTTTCCTTATCATGCAGGAAATATATTCAGCATTAATGCAAGCATATAAATTGGTGTAACCCAATTTTTTTTATAAATTTAAAATTGGAATATTATAAATTATATAGCATTTAATATATATTAATTATACTCTATGTTAGCCATACTATTTTGTATTTTAATAATACACAACTTAATAAATACATTAAACTTTAAATTGAAAATATAAATATTATTAACATTTAACTAAATATTATTAACGATAAATGTCACTGTTGTTAGATATCAAATCAACGCGCGCAAACAACTACTTTATTATCTCTGTTCCATCACCTGTATTTCTCTATAATCTATATTCATATTGAAATATTCAAATAAAATTTCTATTTTTTACTCATTGCGCATATTTCTAATCCAGAATTCCCATACCACTTGTACAATTCTAATTTTTTTCTCTACAGCTGGGATCGGATCCCAGTTTTCCTTTAGCATATCAATCGAATTCACGTGTGTATATATTTGTTGCTGTATTATGTTTGTCAGAAGTGGGTTTACTAAGCCGGTGTATAAATACCGAAAAGCTTATATAGTAGTATTACATGGGCTATTGCAAATAACCTTTTGTTTATGAAAGGGGATGTAATTCCGCCTCTATATAAAGCACGATGGCTGAAGGACTATCAATAGTACTTTTAACCTCAATGATTGTGTTTGGATAATGCACTAAATTATATCATGATATAAGGCTCTTAACTAGCACTCGTCATATTTCATTGGACATAAGCACGAATTATTTGTGTCTACAAGCACAGGATCGATAAGGAGAAGAGAAACAAAAATAAGCCTTTAATAATATAATACATACATTTTATAAAAGATTATTGTTACTGATGCCAAATACATTATTAACGTTAAGGGATTGAAAATGTATCGAGCAGCAGATTATTAATATTTATCAGACTAAAAAAAAAAAAAAATTAAATCACTAGTTCGTATAGTAAGAACACTCAAACAGTTCAGACGTAAATGATTGGAACTTACGCAAAAAATGCAAATATTTTGTGCCCCAAAGGCATTTGGGGCACAAAAGTCCAATTTGATTTTGAGCAATTATATTGTGAAGACCAAACCAATTATATCACAACAAATAATACATGTCAAACAAACAACTGTCTGACCAACAGTAAAACTCCCAGCTAATTCATCATTGTAGAAATGTGTTTTCTTGCTATTTTTCAAAAAATTGTCACTTAGTGCTTTTTACCCCATAGGCCGGTTGAAATAAGGCAGTTAGAAAGTAAATAGGTCAAATGTCCTATTATTAATTTTAAAGGAATTTTACGAAGTAATATCTACATTATTTAACCTTTGCAAAATATAAATTCATGGGTACATTTTCTACAGATATAACACTGTATATAACTTTGATCTGGTATTTTGTCAGACATAATCATCCACAGAGTTGAAGTAACTATTTATTTAACTTATCTCTTGTTACAATGTTCCTTTTAACTTAATTTATTTTTATTAAATATTTTTTATTGTTTAAATATTTTTGTCAGGGTAAAGGCCCAAATAGTATTTTTTGATGAGTAGATAGTGATACTCATTTAAGGATATTTCACAAATCTGTTAACTTATAGCAAAGCTCTATATTTAAAGTTACCGAATAAAAATTTATTTTTAACAAATTACATTTAAAACATATATAATAAAAAATACAATAATTTTCTTGAAAAATTGCGCCAAAAAGCAATTGGTCATTTTAATTTTAATTTATGATTAAAACGGAGAATAGAGTTGCACGTTTAGCAATATTATTAAATAATTTAAGTATGTTTTACCAAATATTTATACTGGAGATTTATTTATTTATTTGATCAACTGTTGTGTGATGTGTTATCAATAAAAAACACAAACAATTTCTCATCTTTTGATTTAACTTCTACCATCCATTTTACTTGATATAACAAGTATTTAATACATACTCTTTTCACTTTCGAAACGCGACGCAGACTAATTTAGAAGCAGTGTTTTTTGTACTGCACGACATTAATCAATATGATTTCGTTAATATTTCATGTTTTGTTAAATTCAAATGACGCATAAGAGATACAATAGCATACAATCAGTAAGGCAGCCAACAGGTTTTTAATCATAAATCAATTTACATGTCGATTTATCATAACGGAGTTAACCTGTACTGAAACGATTAAGATGTGGATATGTAATTTATGCTCTAGTCGTTGCACCATACCAGTCTAATACTACTGTTATAATTGAAACGATCCGAAATTTGTACGAATGCTAATAGTGTACAGTTAGCCGGCATGGCTATAATAAATTTCATTAGCAAAGACGTATGCACGTTAATTGTAATTTTGGATTAATTATACTGACTTGCACCACTAGTCGTGCATCGTGCCTCAATTCAAATTAAAATTCTTAAAAATGCCATAAATATTTTGAAAACTGAAAAAATGAGAAAAATGAAATTTTTGAAATAAATTGCCTTTTTCGAAAAATTTGAACTTGCTTCAAATTCAAATCAGTGGATTCATGTTCCCAAAATTGTCGACAAAAATTTGTATCCGCACACACACACATACATCCTTTGTAAGGTACGCCAAAATGTTCAGAAATCTTTGAAACGTAAAGATATATACAAAAATTTCATTTTCATTTTTTTTGCGATCACTATAACATTCCCTACAGGTTGATAATAATAGTGCTATTATGCTCCTTTGATAATTGATTATATTGAATAGTGAAATTGCTCAAAATCAATAAATGATATGATTCAAAATTTTTAATGAAGTTCTGTAATTTTTTGGTAAAAAATACATTTCGCTCGTAAAAAATGCGGAAAAAATTGAATAGCTATCTTGTTACAGGTTGTAAGCATTATACTATTATGTTTTAAAGATCTTGCTTCCAATACTCAAGAGTATTTAATTAAAAAAAAATTCAAAGTTTCTGAAAGAGGGAACATTTCATATTCCCAAAACGTTGTAAACTTTCTTTGTTACAATTACATAGTTTTTCAAAAAAGTTTGAAAACTCTTACTGTAGTCGGTCAATATTCATAACTTAGTATGTGCTAATTTAATAAATCATATTATCGATATTAATATCAACTCAACTAAATCTTTCAATTATGCATCAAGTTATCATTTCTCAAAATGTTACTTCTTTAGAATAACGGTTTTCACACCTGTGCACGAGTGAGATGATCTTAATATCGAAGGCGCGTGAAATGTTCCGTAACAGATTATATCATCAAAATCAAACGATATTTTGAGTAGTTGTCACAAAATACTTTAAAATTTTAAAAATTGCTAATAATATTTTGCAATAATGACCCTAATAGTTGAGTTTATAATTTTATATGTCACTAGCAATAATAAACATTTGTGCTCGGTAAATATGCATTTCTTTTCTAATATGCTTATTTTTATCTAATGAAATCAGTTGAATACATCAATTCAATTTAGAAACCAAATTCATTTGACATTATTACATAAATTATCATGACGGGCGATAGTAATAAACCTACATAAATTTTTTAATAAATGTACAAGATTTGACAACTTTATTATGCAGTAAAATTCAATAATTTATTATAAATAGATACAAATTTATTGCCTGTTGTCGATTACAGTTACAACTTCTGACAAATCTTTAATTACTCGAAAGCAATTTCTCCATAATTTGATGTCAGAAGTACGTTTTAAAACT